GTCTACATAAACGTACGAGAGGCTTCTACAAGAATGAATCCTCCCTGATTTGTAGAGGATTTTCATTTATGTAACAGGTAGGACTATTTGAACTGATAATAGAAAAATCTCAAATTGAGGCCTTGCAGTATTAACAAAGCCATGGCAAAGTCATTACAGCAAAGCCTCAGTTGGAAAGTTTCCTGTTATAACAAATAAACAGTCAAGGTTAGTAAGTTGTTTATTACATGAATAAGAAAAACCTTTTTGAAGATAGAGAAAATCAATTCAAACCAAGTCCAACTGCTCACGTGAAATAAGTAAACTACTATTTTCCTGCCAAAAATAGGAAACAAAATTATCAAAAAAACAAAACTAAAGGAAAAGTATTTACCGGTACATATGAGTAAAAAATGTCCATCCTCCAAACCTCACCGCCAAAAAAATTTTGGTATTTCAATGGCATTATTTTACAATGAGATTCACAATTTTTTTCCTTTTTTCAAGGCGAGTGTGGCCTAGTGGTTAGGGCGCTGCACTTGTAAGCCAGAGGTCCCGGGTTCAAGTCCTCCTCCCTGCCACTGGATGGATTTGTCTTCGGTGGCCCCAAATTCAACTCCTGCACGCTTTGTAAATAGCCAACTGATCTGCCTCCTACCAGTTGGGGTTTTTAACGAGTTTCTGTTCATTTATGATATTTTTTTCCTTATTTACAGTGTCCCCAATTGGCACAGCAGTGCTAAAATACACTGACACTTAAATAAAGTTACTATTTATTATTATTTTTATTATAAGGTTGTGTATATTTTTTTATTTTTTTCCTTCGTCCTCCCCAGCACAATCTTGTAAGAAGTTTAACACAGTAGCTTCACTGTTCTCCTGAAATTTTAGCTGCAGCAAATAGAATTGACTCTCTTTTGGAGTTAAGAGGCCTTAATCATTTTCTCTGGTCGAATTTCAGAGGAAGAGGACCATGTTTTTTTCCTCCCAATTTGTACAGCAATCGGCCTTAATGCCAGTATGAGAGTGGACTGCCCTGCTCTGCTCTTGCCAATAAACCACAATTAACCAATCAACCTCACTTTATCAGTAGCCATGATGTAATAAATCTGACCAGCAAAAAGGGGTTTTAATCCCTACAGCATATCATATCAGCACACAGGGTCTGGTTAATAGGTGCATTCTAATATCAAAAGCTTTATTCATTTTCTCCTTTTCCAGATTCCAACAGAAAGATTCACAATTTCACCCTTCTGCAATATGTCTTTGATGATGATGAACACAAAGTTAAAGTTAAACCACATAGTTATTCTATGTTTTCCAAAGAGTATTACAGCACCTCGCATACCAAAATTGAGCGGTTAAAAAAGCTTGCTACTTCTGACCCTCCAAAGACAGCATTTTTCAAGAGCATCAAAGAAAAGGGAACAATTTAAGACTTTAGGAATGCAGGTAGCCATGCTTGAAATGTACAACAGATTAAGAACATTAAAAAAAACATGGAAGAGTAACCTGAGAATCCTGTACTTGAGCTAATAGACATGCTGAAGTGAGGAAACAGACACAAAGACAACGCCTTCATCCGTAAAGTAGAGACATCATCTGATTCTTGTATTGTCCTAACCACAGACCAGCAATTTAAGGACATGGAAAGATTTTGTACAAATGTTAGCCAGTTCAGTATTTTAGGAGTGGATCCCACATTCAATTTTGGAAACTATTATGTGAATCTAACCTCATGCAGGCATCTCCTTCCCTGACCCAAAGAAGACAAGAATCCAGTCCAGATTGGACCAACCCACATTCACAACAAAAAGGAACCATCCAGTTATTACAGGCTTTCATCTACCACGATAAAGCTAGATGGAAAAACCCAAAATGTGCTAGTGTATGGTACTGACAGAGAAAAGGCATTAAGTGAGGGTTTTGGCAGACCTCTCCCTTATGCCCAGCATTTGCTCTGGGACCTGCATAAGAAAGACGATGTAATGTCAAAAATGAACAAACTTGGAATGTGGGGTAAACCCTTAGAGATCATTCTAAGTGACATCTTCAGAAGAGAGATTGGTTGTAAGAGGGTTTCTGGTCTTATAGACTTGCAAATACATGCCCAGTTTGACCAATCTGGAAAAAAAATTAAGGAGTGGCTTTCTTTACACTCACTCTCAGAGTGCTTTGTTATTTACTTTTTTAAGTATATGGTAGAAATTATGAGGCAAATGATGACATGAATTGCAATCCATGTCTAGGCTGGTGTCCCAGGTGTATACGATCAGAACAGAAATTAATGCATGAACTTGGTTCAACAAGTAGAGAAACAATTCAAAGGGAAAAGGAAGCTTTCCATTCCAGAGTTTATGAAGCTACTGCAAATGGTGGTGAAAAGACAGAGAACAGAGGAGGACCTAGCACTTATTGAGCTCAGAGCGCTGAAAATGGACAAAAACTACATGGAATAGGAATGAAGGAGTCTGTCTTTTACAGGAAGATAAGAGTGTAACAAGAAGCTGCACTCAAAACATTTCACAATCTCCCAGTAAAGACAGTTGAGGTAATTCCTATAGACCTAGAAAACACAGATGACGCAGCCACAATGTCACCATTGAGTTTGCCTGTGCAAATGAGGCAATTGATGCTTCATCCTATGCAGTTGGTGAGAAACATTCCATGCAACATGGAAAATACTATGTGTGCAGCATCACTTGTATTGATTTTAAAGCTTAAGATATTTGTGCTCATACTTTAGTTTTGGTGGAAATGGATTGTTCATCAACTGAGTTAATTCATTGTTATAAGGCAACAAACTAAAGGCCTCCCAACATGGATGCCTTGAATCACATGGACCTCCCTCCTGGGCATGGGTCAAAAAAGACCAAGCCAACACAAAGAAGGAAAGGTGCTACAAACAAAAAAAAAGAAAATTGTGGAGAGTTATATTAACACCTCTCCAACTGACCATTCAGCATTGAATATGGTGTTTACCCTAGTAAGATCCCCAGGAAACAGAGGCACAGAGAAGGAAGCAAAGAAGACAACAACAAAAAAAAGACACAGAAGGACCTCAGGCATGTACATATTGTAACAATCATTCATAGTTAATAAAGTGTGATTCTTTTATCTCTGGTTTTAGATCAGTGTAAGGTTTCAAGTTTTTTGTGTGATTATGCTGCAAACTGTTTGATTTCTTAGATAGACTCTAATCACAGTAAAGTCCTACTATATGTTAGCTCTATCTAAGTTGTTGTATTTCACTGACTGGTGAGCTAATTTGGTTCAAAGAAATAACAAACTTTATCAAATAAAGCTGGTAGTGATATTGTGCACCAAGTTGAAAGAAAACAGAACTCCTAATCAGAAATGACCAGCAGGACATGAGGTTTACAAAGATGTAGCATCTGGTGAGACTGTTGGCTCATTTCAAATCATACTTCCCATGCAGCCACCAACTAATCTTGGCTGTTAACTAAAATGCCATCTTCATTCATTTCTTTTACACAATCTGCAGAATAAAAAACCTAAGACATCAACATGCACAGTTCAAGAAGGTAGTTTCCTGTTGAGCCTTCTTAAAAGGTGTTACAGGTGTAAGGGTGTCCTTAAACTGAGGCATGGTGAAGACTTTTTTATTCACGACCCACCAAAAGACCTCCTCATGATATCAAGCACAAGATGGGCCTACTGGCAGAATGGAGAGCAAAA